CCCCGCACCCCTCCTCTTCCTCGCCCCCGCACTGAGGCCTTCGGAGTCTCTCCTCCGAAGCCCTGTTGTTTTGCCTGTCCTGCTGCTTGTGGGCCTCTTCCATCCATCTCCACCCATGACCCGACCCCCTGCAGTGCCCGCCGTGGGTTTAGGTAGCGCCAAAAGCCGCCCTGGGTCTCCCCTTGGCACCCTCCCTGATGGTGGTGCTGGATGTTTTGTTGGGTTTTTTTGTCTGCTGCTGCCCCTGACAACCCTGGGATCTCTTTCCCAAGTTGCACTTGCCAGTTTTGTCTTCAGCATCTCTTACTAGAGGAAGAAATGGTATTTCCAAAGGTACATAATAACGTGTATTAGTTAGAGATTGCAAGGTCAAAGAAAAGTGGTTTCTGCTTGCAGTGGAAGGTGTTATGATTTATAAGAGTGCCTGGGGCTCCGTGGCTCGTACTTTTTCATTCAAGATTGTGCGTTAATATTAGTTCCATTTTGTTTCTGGCATATTTTGAACAATGTCCTGGCAATTTCATTAGTGAGGAGTCCAAGTTCAGAGCTCCTGACTCCCACAGTTAAATGAACTGAGACATTTTGAAGGTCAGGCTGTTAACCAAAATGCCAGTTTTGATTGGCTGGCAGATGACATTAATAAGAAAATTGTTATCTTTAACTGTGAGACTGTAGTCTAAGGATGAGGGAAGAAGTGGATTTCTAATTCTCGTGTTATTTCGAATTAAAATGGTTCCAGTCTCAGAGAAACTGGAGAGGGTCCTGCAGAGGGCTGTTAAGGTGGTCATGGGCTGGAGCTCGTGGTGTGTAAGGGAAGCAGGAAGAGCTGGATTTGTTCAGCCTGCAGAAAAGAGGGTGAATATGATCCAACTGCCTAACGGGGACTTAGCGAGAAGGAGCCAGTGCACAGAGGAGGGGTGAGAGGCAGCAAGCACAGGTTGAACCAGAAGAAATCCCAGTTGTCCAGTTCTAGTCTCATCAGTTCAAGAGAGACATTAAAAAAAATGGAGAGGGTCTAGCGGAGGACCACCAGGTGATTAGAGGGTTGGAGAACTTGATGTGGAAAAAATGCAAAGGATTTGGGTGTATTCAGCCTCAAGAAGGGAAGGCTCAGAAGGATCTAATCCCAGTCTTCCTAAAAGGTGGTTATAGAGAAGACAGAGGTACTTTCTTCTCAAGGATGCACAGTGACAGGGCAAGAGGCAATGGGCACAAGCTTAAAGTAAAATCTTCACTGTAAGAACAATTAAGCTTTGGAGTAGGTTGACCAGAGAGGTGGTGGAATCTCCCTCACTGGAAATACTTAAGACTTGGCTCGATGGCTTAATCTAAATCCCTGCTTTCAATAGATGGTTGGACCAGATGGTCTCCAGAGGTCCTTTCTAATGTGGACTTTTCTATAATGCTAAGAAAAAGTTTTTCATAAGGAGAGTAGTTAAGCACCAAGACAGGGCTGAGGGACGTTGAGAGTTCTCCATCCTTGGAGGTGTTCAGAATTTGACTAAACAGCACTGTGAACAATGTGACTGGCCTGTGCTATTAGAGCAGGAAGCTGGACGAGGAGACCTCAGAGGTCCTTTCTGGCATGAGTCTTTCTATGATTGTATGAAGATGAGGTTCTCTGTACCTCCTTGTCCTCAATGTTTTCAATCCTGATGATTTTTTTTCTTTGACTTAAACTAGTGCAGTATTATGCAGTACTAATTATTTCTACCTTTTTAATCACAAGCTGTGTAGTGATTATGTGCACATCTGCCAAAATTGGCATAGTTTGTATAAACTGTGTTGAATATTAATTCCTTTTTGAGCTGACTTTCTTCATTGGAATTAGGGATGCTCTAAAGTATCTTACTGAAGCTCTTCACTCCATCAGTGAAGTAGAACTTGACGATGTAATTGAAAATGTCATTGATGTCGTTGAAAAACAGCCTTGTAAGTAAACAATTTCTTTTTCTTAAGCTTGCTAAGTTTATCTTGCGCTTATAATGTTATTTAGACAAAGATTTACTAGCGGCCTATGCACTGAAGTGTCATTCTAGTCTACCAGGTTGATCAAGATAAGTGTATTTGTTGACATTTTGTTTTGTTAAATACTGAAGTTTGTAATGTTAGCAAAAGATAGTATATAAAGTTGGCGGCCTGGTACTTCATGACTTTTCCAAGAGTAGTGAAATTTTTCAATGCCAGTTACTAAAAGCACCTAGCTGAGTTTGTATGGACATCTTTGCATCTGAAACTGTCATTTTACATATTAAAATAAACCAAAGAAATAATGAGAAATGAATTCACTTGTTATTCAGTAATCCAGGTCCAGAAAAGGGTTAGGGTTGTTGACAGCCATAATCTGAGGAGCCTAGCTGTGACTGCAGGAAGGAAACAGTGGCATTCTTTCAGAGGTCACTGCCCTCGCATCCAGCTGGAGTGGGAGATGCAAGTGCACCGGTATAATGGTCCAGTGTATTAACCTAACCAACTGTGGACGGAGTTTAACCATCACCTGGATGTTCTCTGAAGCAGCAAGGCAGATGCTGATGTTCTGTTATGCCAACCTGATCTCGTGATAGTAACATTGGACAGAAGGTGCTGATAACACTTGGGGCACTGTAGCACTGGAGAAGCTGTACCTGCTTGGCGTGTGAAAGTACATCAAATTCCATAAATTACTAGGTCCAAAAGCAATCCAGAAAACTCCTGGAAAATCCCGTAAAAACATGAGACACTCAAAATGCTGAGCTTTTACCGGTAAAGTTCTCATGACCCGTTTGGTTCTGAGCATGCCTGAAACTCCATCGTCTTGGCAGGGGTGTTTTGTCTGGGGACTACCTCCTGCTTAATTGGGACACTATGTCCTGAGGTACACAGATCCAGTGTCCCTGCTCCTGAGCACCATGAAAGGCGTGGGGTAGTAGCTCAAAATACACCTGACACAGTCTGACAGCACAAACCATAGGAGTGTAGCACCTTGAGTTAAAGAATGTGGCTGATGGAGGTGGCACTGATGCCTGACATATATGTGTGTTTACTGATCAGAGCTGATGAGAACTAGGAAAATTGGGCTCACTTCCAGCTTTTGGCCGAGGAGATTCAAACCCATATAAATGTGACCTAAAATAAATACTAGGTCTTAGATGAGTCCAGGAAACCTTCCCAGCCTATCCTATTTAAACTGAATTAAATCAAGGGTGGGCACATGTTTACTTTGTAGTTTTACTAGAGCACAGACTGCAGAAGTTATGGCTTTATATTCTTACTCTAGCCATGGGATAACAGATCATAGCTGATAAAACAGGGAGTAAAAGCAGTTTGAAGAACTGGTCCTGATCTAGCGTAAAGCTTGCTGGTACAAATTAACACATCCACATTTTTGAACAAATTTGAGTCTGTACAAGAAGCTCTAGGGCCAATGTAGTACATGCAGTCAGTGTACTCGCCAATACTGGTCTTTGTCCAGGGTGGAATTTTATGCTATAAATTCCCAATATTGTCCAGCTAATGCCCATGAGCTGTTTGAGGTTAGGGGTAGACGTGCAATTCAGACATGCTGGTCTCTCCTGTGAACCTTAGTGCCCCTTCTGCTCTGCTATTCATCACTGTCCTACAGGAACTGTGATTTTAAGTCCTATGCCCTGAATAGGGAACTCAAGGGCAGGTTTTCATGTACTGGTTTCTGTTCCAGGAGCCCAGTGGTTAGGCTTGGAAATGCTGACCAAGTCCTTTTGTGAATCTGCATTGATTGGTCTTCCCTTTAAATTCAGCAAAACATTAGCATTTAGAAATATTTTTTAATTTCAATTATCAGTTTAAATCTGTGAAGACAACAATCTCCAAAATTGTTTTAAACTGTTTGAATATGTATTTATGTCACCAATCTGTGTGATAATGTTCTGGAACAAAATTAACCTCCAGAACGTGAAAGCTCAGATTGAACACATTTGTAGTATATTTGGCAGCTTTGCATAAACTATAATTGTCTTGTTCTCCATGTCTAGTGAATTAATGGTGGGCACAGTATGTGTGTGGGTTATTTTTTCGCTAGAGACATATCCTTCTGGTAAGAATATTAAGTGATCCATTTGTAAAGCGAAAACAGCGCGTGTCATTAGCTTACTGAAAATATGCTTTTGTGTATATATTTGTTTAATATATTCCTCTGAGAAGACTGAACCATTTTTTGTAAAGTATCTGAGACCTGCTTACTTTCTTACTTACTGCTTTCCATAGGCTGCGGTTTTAATCCTTTGAAATCTTCTTTTCAGTGTCATCTAATATGATTGAACAATCCACAGTGGAAGCAGCCGTCCAAGAATGTAGCCAGGCATCAGATGAAACTGTGTACGGTGACATTATTTTTTTTATTTGAGGTTTACAGGAGTTGGTATGCATCCCCATATTTCTTCTTGGGAAATAAATGTCAGGCATTTTCTGCAGTGCTACACATGCAGTAATTGCTGTGTGCTTTTGTCTTCTTGGTACTGTCTTTGAAGGTTAGTAATGTTCCTTCTTAGAAAATTTGTTCTCATGGATAGGCCTCCAGGGGATTCTAAATATAATGCTGACATTCTGGAATTAAAATGCTATGGTTATGTTTTACATGTGATACAGGTTGAATATTAACCGATAAAATAAACCAATAGTTACAATGCAGAGAGAACTTCTCACTTCTGCCCATTTCTTTATTTCCTTTTCTCTAGTTCAAAATTATCTAAGATTATTTTTGTGCCTTTCATAAGATACTTCTTTTCTGAAAGCACTTGGAAAAGTTTTTATCCATGGTGGTTGTTTCTGCTTTTTTGTATGTTTTTTGAAAACTGTGATTGATTTTTACTCTCTGATAACAAGGCAGAGAGCAGTTACTTGAGTTTCTGGGAACTTTATTTGTGATTGTGATGAATGTGTTTCCTTTAGTGTTTACGTTGTGTGTTGTCATCGTAATGCAAAGCATGAAAATAAATGGTTTGCTAGGCATGTCAATTAGATACTGTGATCCCACAGTTTCTCATTATGAAGCAAATTTGGTTTATACTTTTCTCCTTGTCATTGGAACATTTATGATGCAGATGGTTTGAGTGTGACTTTTCTTTGTGTCGCTTTATATACTTAATGTATTTTTTGCTCCAGAAGTGAAGAGAAATCTGTATGCATAGATTCTCAGTACAGAGTCCTGAATGGAAAAGCTCTACAGATCACAGGCCCAGCCTGTACAACTCTCTTGAATTATGTTGCAGAAAGCTTGAAGGCAAATTTTTGTAAGAAATGCACTCTGAAGCCTAAGACATCGGTGTCCGATAGGCAATGATGGTTGTCCTGTGCTTGTAAGTCGTAGTGAAGGTTCATGGGATAGTTTTACCTACTCTGATGATTTGATCCACTTACAGTAAGAGGGAAATGAGAGGCATCAGAGGAGAGAGCTGAACCAGTAAATATAATGGGATGTATCAACTCGATTAATAGTCTGAAGAGTTGTGCGTGTCCATTGTTTAAACCTATTCACACTAACCATGCCAAGACTGTTCTGTTGTCGAAAAAGATAGCAGAGAACGGTAAGGGAAGGAGATGTATCCCTCTCTCATTTCTAAATGAACTTCTGAAGATTTTCCTTTTTTGAATTAGAAGATGCAGTGGTATCTAATAGGTAGAGTGATGCGGGAGAAGTGGTGATAGCGCAGGGTGATCGTGAGCAAAACAAATGCAATTTTATTCAACATGTTTTGTTACTGCTTGTTTCGTCCACTTGAGATAATGGAAATGTATTCTTATTTCAGAGAAAATGTTTTCAACATTATTGGAGCCTTTGATATTCCACGTTATATTTATAATTCAGAAAGAAAGAAGTTTCTACCGTAAGTCTTGCATATTTTAAGCTTCAACCACTTCTTGTTTTAAGAAAAAAGCCTCTATTTCTATGTGGTTAAAAGTCTGTTTTCTGATCTTTCCCTCTTGGGTCTGCTCATCTCAAGCCTGAGTGAGTAAGTGAGACAATTTTGTTTCTTAGTTTCTAAAGAGCTAGTCAGACTCTATGATAAATGCTGGCTCATAAATAAATGTACCATTGGGTTTTTCCTGGTCCAGTAGGATGAAACTGAAGTGGGGACCTGTGTCTACTGTGTATTGTGTGCTGCCTGTGATGTTACTGGCTCTGAAACTTTGGTGTTTATCAGATAGTAAAATATTCAACCATGTTTATGCCATCTAATGAATAAAAGAGACAGTAAGGCTAAGGACATACATCACTAAATGTAGTTTGTTTTTTTTTTTTTTCACATTTGGCTGTTTAATTTTTTTTTTCAATAAATTTGTTCTGTCTGTTGCGTGTATTTATTTCTTAGACTGTAGCTTGTAATGCCCTGAAGCCCTGGGGGATTTCTAAGCAGAGATACAAAAGCTAAAAAAGAAAAATTAGGAGTAACTGGTGATTCTGGAGGTTGGAGAAAGGAAGAAGTAATTGGAGGAATTGGTTGTAAATATTTTGCTAGCTAAAGAATTTACCTTTAACAGCAAGCAGCCCAGACTGCTGAGCCAAAAAGAGGCCGTGCTTTTAAAGAGGTTGAAGTGGTGTTAGCTGAGGAACGGATAGTGGTGTTCATTATGAGGGGTTGCAGCGACCTTCATGTAATACGCAATTCATATTCTAGCCTAGGTCCATGATTCCACCAGTCCAGCAAGAGCAATCTGTGTTTGCAGTAGAAGTTTAATTCCAGTGACGCTTTCTAGCTTTCCAGGCTGTCGGAAGCAGAGAACTCCATGAAGACAATCTGCTAACCAAGACAAATAAAATACTCTTGTTCGTGGTCACTTAAAAGACATAACTGCTTTTTTAAAAACTGATTTCTGCAGAGTGCCATTAAGGTAGAAAGATAAATCTCAAGGCCTGTGAATTAGAGGGAAATTAAATGGATGTAGCCTTCAAAATGCAGAAACACAGGATCCCTAGCAGAAATCTTCGTCATTGAGTAAATAAATTATGCAGTAGTGTTACAGCTTTTGCAGCCTCTCACAACTTTTAGATCAATGAGTCATTTTTGTGTGTGGAATGTACCTTTTTAATCTTGATTGTGTTAAACTTCTTGCAGTCTGTCAATGACCAACTTCCCTGTACCAAATTTATTTGGAACTGCCAGAGATAAAGCAGAGTTATTTCGTGAACGCTACTCCATCTTACAACAGGTCAGAAAAAGTTTTGCTTTGTTTAACAAAATACACAAACAAAACGCTGTTTTTTGTATTCTTATGTGTACAACAGTGCTTTGCGTTGAGGTGATTTTGTGAGGTACAGTTTAAATAAAATTTGAATAAGAACAGGATCTGTACTAAGGTTTAGCAGTCTTCTCAACTGTCACCATACAACATGATAGATTCATGTGTTTCTGCATTTTAGCATCATGTCGTAAGAGGGGATTATATATTTTTATGTGTGTCTTGCTCTTTTCCCTCCTGTAGTCTGGCTCTGTGCTATGTTTGATTAGCATGTCATTGTATGTAGTGCTTGTTGAGATAACACAAACCTGAAGCTCTGGGAAGCTCTCGTTTAGGCTCTCCTTGAAGCATTGAAATTTCACTTCTGGCTTAGTTAATTTATTCATTTTCCAGTTTTCAAAATGCCCAGTGAAAGCCAGCCACCCCTTGTCGTCTCTTGGTGGCACACGCATCTTGTGTTTGTTGTGAGCAACTTCAGAACAGGATTCCCCAACATGACTTGCTCTGCACCACCGTGACAGTAGCTCTAGGTACTGACAGCAGCTGTAGGTAGTGGCTCTGGACCAGGCTCTGCACACAGCCAGAAAGAGGAAGTCCCTCAGCACTCGCTGTCTGATTATCCCTCAGAACAGGGTCACAACTCTGTTCTTTCCTTTCTTCCACTCACCCGGTAAGTTGGGATCCAGCCCCATGTCACCCGCCTGCTTACTCCGTGCTGCGCTCTCCCCTGCCTCTGTCGTGCAGCCCCGTGGGAGCAGTGATGGGATGGGGAGTGAGTTGCTGATCAGACGACTTGGCAGTTGTTTTTCAGGTGTCTGCACTAACTGCAGTGGGCTGATCCACAGCACAGATCTCACTCGGTGCTGGCAGGTACTACGCAGACCTAACTGCCCGTGTGCAGCCCTGGCTTGAAGTGTGAGCGAAGTGCCTGGACGCAGGCAGACAGCGTCACAGCTTTTTGTCTGTGCTGCCCTGTGCGCAGCAGGGAGGCACCCAGCTGCCTGTGTGAGCTGCTCGTCCTTTGGACCTTGTGGTAGTTGCATGCACAGTCAGATACCCCAGAGCAGCAACAACTCTATCTACCAGGGGATTTGCTGCCACTAGGGGTATGTGTACTGCAATTTGGGAACCTCTGCCCTGACAGTTAACCATTAACTGAAGAAGCTTTAGCTCATAGAAACAGTGATCAGGATTAGTGAAACCTGCTGGAATTGGCACACTCATGCAAAACAGCAGCAGGAGGTGTCCATAGGGCATATCCTGAAGCCTCCTTTTCTTAGAGACTGTGTTGTGCTATTGCACCTCTTTGCCTGATGGTTTCACACAGACTCTGTGTTGTACAGGATTTGTGTTTGGTTGTCGTATGTACTCCTTTCCGACCTCCAGAAAAGTGAAGGTTCAGGTCACTATGTGGGTGAGGGCTGCTGATAGGAGTTACTGTGTGTGTTACATGGGCTGGTAGCGATGGGTTTGTTCCAAGGCGAGGCTTTCAGACTGCATGAACAACAGTGAAAGAAGTGAAAATTTCATGTGTTTTCTTCATGCTCTCTGCGGCTTATCTGTTACTGTAGCTTGCTCCAGTTATTTAAAAAAAAAAAAAAGAAGCTTATTTTTAATAGGCCTTACCCTGAAAAGAGAACCTGCTCTTTTCCACATAGTTAACATTTAATACAGTTTACCTTCCCTTGCTCTCTCACCCCTTCCTTCCAGGTAGTCAGAAATAACTTCTTTTAAAAGCGTTACAGATGCCTTGCTGTTACTTTTTGGGCTTAGTTTTATTGTCCGGTATTATTGATCATCCATTTCTTAGAAGCAAATTCTTGTCAAAAGAACTGATTATGCTCAACAAATTAAATGTTGTTGGATAAAATAGAGTACTTTAAAAAGTATTTTGTATAGTGGTTGTAATGAACTGGCTTTTTGACAGTGTTCATTTGTTTTTTAAATGGGCTTACTTCAATTTTGGTTTCTGCAGAGGACTCATAGACATGAATTGTTTACTCCTTCAGCAGTCGTTGCTCATCCTGATGACAGTAGGAGCAAATTCCAGGTAAAAAATCTGTTTTTTTTCTTGCAAAGGGAACTGTACTTGTGTTACACTTTAATGCAGTAATAGTTCTTCAGTGACATTTTAGTTTCACATCCAATATGGGTAATCAACGGAAATGAGTTATTTTCAATTATGTTTAGCTTTTGTGTCAAAAATGCAGTTACTTGGCTCAGATCAGCATGATGACCAAGCCACTCAAAAGCAGCTATGAAATGCAAGAGAGACGTGGCTTCCTGAGGTGGAAGGGCATTAGCTGTTCAGCTTTTTACACTTTGCTTCCCTCTGCTTGGGGATATTTTCCCTGCTTCTTTCTTTCATAAGCACTAAATTCACAAACCCACAATTGACTAAGGTCATATGTGTGTGTGTATCACTGGGTACCAAATAACAGCTTTTGCTTCGCTCGACTTTCCTGTTTCTCCGTGTTCAGAGCATTCCATCATGTAGAAAAAAGCAGCTGACCTTAGCTGAGTCGAGCCTGCATCTCCGTCCAGGCTTTATAGGCATCTTTCTCCCTTGACTGCTTCCTATCCTCCCTGTCAGCAGTGGCAAATGCATTGCTTATGCTGGTGTTGTAGGAGGATTGTCTCTCTTAACTGCAGCTTGACAGGCCAAAATAAGTTTGTCCGGAAACCACAGACAGCATGCTATGTGATGTCACCGCATTACTCTGGAGTGTTCTGTATCATCCATCTAAGGTTCTTCGATTAAAGTAATTGGTGTTACTGTATGGGCGCAGGCTGGCCCTGTGGTTCAGATTGGATCGTGCTGAAGATCCAATTGCTACAATTGACAGTCTTTAGGCAAGAGCAGAAATTGCCACTTGTTCTTTTCAGTTTTAATCCACTTGTAAGCAAAATAATCACAATAAATATTTACTTGCTAAGCAGTTCTTTATGCTAGCAGCCATTATTGGAAATCTTTTCCTAAACTGTGCTACATTTGACATTCAGAAATGTGTCCCTGATTTTTGTAATGAGCCTGAATTCTCTTGTAGCTCATTTGTGTATTTATGTAAACACGTGTGCTCTGTGGTGCTTTGTCTTGGTTGCTTAAGAATAGATATATGGAGAGTTTTATTTAATTTTTATTTGATTTTTTGCCTTTGGTTACAGCTTAAAACAATAGAAACTCTATTGGGCAATACAGCTAAAGTGGGAGAAGTGATTGTGCTTGGGATGATAACTCAGCTCAAGGAGGTAGGTTGCTTTTTATTGTGGAGTATCTAGGTCACCATTCATTTGGTGTTAAAATATATATGAAAATGAGAAGGCTTAAATATCTCACCACTTTATCTTGTCATAGAAGTCAGTGGCAGAACTCACATCAATGTCAGTGGTGCAAGATCCATTCCCTAAGAAGAGACTTTTCCACAAGCAGTTGATGCTAGTGTGCGAGGGAAAATGTCTTTCTCTTCTCACTACAGAATTTTGTAATGCTTTATGTCAGCAACCAGAACCAGTTACGTTTTCTAGGCATGCCCCTTCTTGAAATGCTGGAGCTTCCAATGACTGTTTGGACTTGCCATTGCATTGGACTGTGATTGTAGGGGAGGGTGCACCAGCAATCCAAACTGCAGCAGCTCAAAGGGAAGGTGCTAAGATACACTTGCTGTAAACTACATTGTTTTCACTTCTGCCACTGTGTTCTAAGCTTACAATATTAAAACCGGCTAAATTATTTCTAAATGCTGACTGATAGATGCTTCTGATTGAAGCATTTATGTGTTTGGGTATGTTTGGCTTTATTAATAAATCTTGTTTTTTAGGGGAAATTTTTCCTAGAAGACCCTACAGGAGTCGTCCAGCTAGACCTTAGTAAAGCAATATCCTTTTTCTGTGATGTAAGAGTTGAAGAAATTTCCTATAGATCTGGAGAATTTCAGATTGAATAACAAATCAATACTGACCATTAAAAATTACGTATTGAGAATTGCAGCTCTGTCTTTTTCCTTCTTTTCAAATTAATTGGTTGCTGCAGCTCAGTGCCCTTTCACAGAGACTGTTAGGACAAGGTTAGTATTGCTTCTAGTGGAAGCAGAGCATGTTCCTGTTTGCGGGCTGTTTATGAGCTTACCTGCTCAGCTACCAGGTGATTGCCTAGCTCTTAAGGCAGCCTGTGAACTTTCTGTAGTGTCCACATGTATTACACCAGCTGGAAAGCAAACTTTGGCTAAAGAACTAGTTTAAGAGTCCTGATCTAAGAAAAATATATTTCTTAACCTTTCTGCACCAGTTCCACAGTGGTTTATATACTGAATCATGCTTTGTTTTGGCAGAAGGTAAAGCATACTATTTTTCTTAACTTGTAATACGTTATTCTGTTAATGGCTGTTGCTGCAGTTACGTGTCTGCCAGATGTGGCTGAACAAACAAGTCTCGTGTTGATGAGGCTTGACCATAAGCTGAGTTTGTGACTGAGATTTTTGGCCATAAGCCTTTCCTCTTACCTCGTGGGCTCTGGAGGCAGAGAACAGAGCTCTGCAAAATTTGTGGTTTTCAGTGATGTTGGTGGGATGTGAGCATCTGTAGAAGCTTTGAGGACTGGCCTTAGTTAGCCTGGCTCCAACATGCTTGAGGGAGATATGACTAGATTAGGAAGACAGACTAGAATAACCAAACAGTATGATTTAACAATCTGAAAATGATGCTTTCTGTTGGCAGAGCTTTGGTCCATCAGAGTCTTTGGTGAGTCTTCTCATTAAGATGATGTGAGGGCTTGCAGTTTTGAAGCCCTGGACATGTTTTAGCAAATTTATGGTCATTTCTGTTTGTAGGATGTTACTCTGTGCAATATACATAATCCCAGTCTATTTTCTAATAATGTGTTTTATGTTTAAAATTTGTAAAATAAACTAAATAGAGCAAGAATGATAGTGGAGACAAGTATCACCCTATTACTTCTGTTCCTCTAACAGGTGGGACAGTTCTTGAGAAAGGGTGCAGTTTGATGGAGAGTCTTCTGGGGCAGGGCCAGGAAAAATTATTCCTGTTCCCCTACTTTCTTACTCACTTGGGTTGAGAAGGTTGTTTATGTGGCTGTGCAGCAAATCCATTCAAAGAAGTGTCTGGGGTAAAAAAATACTTGGTTTCTTGCTCAGCCTGTTTTTCAGCCAGATAGTTCCCTGGTCTGGTTGACCACTAAACAGCACAGGGACTGGTGCGATCACAAGAGAGGGATTGATGAAGACTGGGACTAACTATGCAGCACAGCTGCCAACTGTCTGACTAATGTCTAGGACATGATGTTGTTAGAAAAACTAAAGGTTATTTTGTTGTTCAAAAATCTCTTAGGTTGGTATGAAGATGAAGTTTTTCATGTGAATGCTTTTGGATTTCCGCCTACTGAGCCTTCTGCTACCACTAGGTAAAAAACTGACTTTCAGCAGCCTCACTCCATATTTTGTTACGGGTTTCTAAGTAAGCGCATTATTATTTTATTATTTCTGTGACATTAAAGTATGCTATTCTTCCCCCTCCCCAAATGCTTCAAAATAAATACAGTTTTAAGGAAGCAATTCTGGGACTTGCTTTAGTACTTGGACCAGTACTAAAGCCTGTAGTGTTAGCAGAAAAACCCTTCCAAAGGCTGTTGGGTTCTGCATATAATAACAGTTGGGATCTAAGCCCTTCTCAATTGCTAAACTAGATAACTGTTACATGAGAATAAGAAATTCCTTGTTGCTCAAGAAATGCATGGGGGAGAGAACCAAGGATAAATATTACCCTGACAAGATCTGTTAAATTATGGCAGGGCAGTGCCCCTGCTTTATATCCAGGTGACTGCCATTTCTCTTCCTTGGTTTCTCCATGAAGTACTAGATGATTATTGATACCATCTGAGCTACCTATCATAATAACAATAATTAAAATGGCTTAAGTGAGTCATAATCAAAACTACTAACTATTTGGGAAGAAAACGGAACTAACTTGAATATTTTAATGATGTAGAGCCTTCTATGGGAATGTAAACTTCTTTGGAGGGCCTTCTTCAGCTTCAGTAAAGGCTTCTGCAAAACTAAAGCAGCTGGAGGATGAAAATGAAGATGCCATGTTTGTATTTCTTTCTGATGTATGGCTGGACCAAGCAGAAGTACTGGAAAAGCTTCACACAATGTTTTCGGGTAGGTGAGAACTGCTTTGACTCTCAGCCTTGTTTTAGAGAATTTTTGCCATTTTCCTTAGTCCTTAGCAGCATTGATGGGTGGAGCTGACAAGTGCAGCAAGGCAGTCTGATGGCTAGCTAGTCCTTGGTCCCCGGCTGTGTCCCCTCCGTGGCACGGGCTGGGAAGTCTGACCCCATGGTGAGCTAATTCAGGGAATACCCCAGCAGAAAGCTAATTGCCTTTGTTGGAGAATTACTTTTATGCTGGTTTAGCTTTGTGAACTCTTCATCGTATGTTCGCTCACATGTGTTCGCTCACGTGGGCATTCCAGCTGGATGATCCATCCCAGGGGAAGCTGGACAGCGTACAGCTGACAGCAAGACTGTTCTTTCTAGGATCTGCTAAGTCTTAGGCCAACTTTATTGTCAAACTGTGATTTAAATGTGCTCTTTTGTGAAATAGTGGTTTGTGTGCCTTTTTTTCGAAAGTATGCTTTTAAATGAAAAAGTCAGGCAACGATTTTCAAGAGTCCTGTTATTACTGTATTGTGTATTTTTGATGAACTTCCATTTTGAGAAAGTGAGAATAAGCCCAACTGTTGCATTTTTTTTGTAGGATACCACTGAACCCAAGCCAGTGAAGTCTCACTCTAATTTTAGTGACAGCTATTTGCATTTCATGGTTGCTATTATATTTCTTTTGGATCCTTCTCTAACAGTTTTAAAAATTGGATTGTATTATATTTTTGCAAGCTGATACTTCCATTTCGTGAATCACTTAGTACTAATATTGTTTTGGACAGTAGCCATTTTACGTGCTGTGACAAGAATGTTTCCCTTGCTCATGAAAGTGCTTCCTAGGCTTAGTTTAAAGAAAACTTCTTACTTCATTGGAGATCAGCAGTCCCTTGAATGCTTTCTGGTTCTACCAATGAAAAATATGTCAGTTACTCTTAAAATATGAACTGTTTCTTCCACGCATCATTACATTAGTAATGTTGACAACATTTGGATAGCAAGCATCTGTGAGATCTGTGAATTGCTTCTTTGTATTCCAGAGCAGTTTTGGAACAGCTTGTCCTGTCTGTCTTAGGTAGAATGGAAGTGTGAGAGGGTGGCTGCTTTAAAAGTAAGCAACATAAAATTAAGGGTGGGAAACGGCTACTCACTTAAAGAAAATGGGACACAAATTACCACGCTCATCCAGAATTTATGAAGCCAGTTCGCTATCTTGATCAAAGTTCGCAAGATCCTTGAAGCAAACTGAACTTGACCTAAGATTGCATATGCTGAAGTAATAAAGGGACTTTGGTCAGTGAGGTTAATGTACTGAACTCAACTGGCAAAGATGCATACATTGCATTTACTATTTTGAGACTTTTTTTTAATAGGCAAGTAATAAAGCTTCATAATTATAAGCTAAAAATAATAGCTGAGTGGAATAGCAAGGAAAAAACATTAACAAGCCATTTCTCTGGTATAAACAATTCTGTCCTATTTACCAACTGGATTGAAAAATAGTGAAGTAAATCCAAGTTTGGTACTGCATGTTAGGAAAATGGAGAGTAAGCTGGAGCGTGAGATGAATGCCTGAGCAGATGTTTTTATTTTTCTTTTAGGGATGGGAATAGGGTTTCTTTTTTCACTCTTTGCTATAAAGCATGTGTTTCTGGGTGATTAGTGATATTGTGAGGATTCATCAGATTCTTAAAATGCTCAGGCAGTTCCAGGCTCTGTTGCTTTATAATGCCAAAGAGCGAATTAAATGTTGGTAGAGCCCTTGAACTGGAATGATGCATGGAGGTTAATAGTAATCCATTGCTACCTACTCGCTATTTTTCTCTTTAAGGAAAGAGAAATTGTATTGTTTATTATAATGTACTTTGTGTAATTATATGACTGGGTCAGTAGTTAGTTGGATACACACAAACAATGTTGTTGGAACTGGGCCTGTAAATAGCAGAGGGCTCCCTTGAAGTGACATTTGTACATTGCCATCATCCTTTTTAAGCTAACGAAAGCCTGTGTCAAGAAAATAGTTCAGGTGTATCAACAGCAGCAGAGCTTGAAGTGCTGTTTCGGTTTCTGCCTTTCATGGAATGGACTGGAGGCTGAATGATGACAGCTACTGAAGTGAATAGATGTCATACTGACAGATACTCTGTTTTCCCAGGTTATTCCTCTGCACCTCCAACCTGCTTTTTCTTTTGTGGAAATTTTTCATCTGCACCATATGGAAAAAGTCAAATTCAGTCATTGAAAGGTGGGAAAGTCTTTGTATACAGTCAGACATGTACATTAAATTAAAATAAGAGAGCAGAAAAAGAAACGCTTATTTTCTAAGTGACACATTTTTTAATGTACTGAAGTATAGGGGTGATTCATATAATGTGTGTTTATTGTCTAACCAGGTGTTGTGTCATAGATTTTTATTTTTTTTTTTTACCCCCCCTTCTTTCTAGGTTCTTTGAAGGCTCTTGCAGACATTATATGTGAATATCCCAGCATTCATGAAAGGTACACAGCAAAGTGCTATGCAAAGGGAAATTTGTTTATTTTGTGAAACCTTTGCTTTAATTACTTTAAGAAACTAACAGATACCATGTTTTCTCATTATTGTGAGCCAGCTATGATCAGATAGCAAGCTGGTCTTATAACAGGCCTGTAGGTTTGTTTTGGGAGTGGTGTAAGGTTTTGATTTTATCTAAAACAGCTGGGTCATGGAAGCTGCTGTTGAGTGAGCAAAGGTGAAACTGCCTCTCCCTGGAACATTTTCCACATGGATTAAACATGGCCCATGATTCCCCAGAAGTGCTATCTGGGTGAGCCCTTTTTTCCCTGGAATTCCCTTGAAATCAGCAGGGTTCTGCCTGAGCAGTGCTGCTTTATAAACTGATGTTGAAGTCTTGATTCTGCTACGAGCGCCTACAGGCTTTCTCTAGCAGCCCTGGAAAACGTAATCTGAAGCACTGACTGCTGCCTACATGGAGGCATCTCATTTCTCTCTTTTCCATTCTTGCATACATGGTTCTCCACGGCTGTTAGTTTGAGAACTAACCAAGGCAACGCAATCCTGCAAAGGAATCTTTTATTTATCCCTTCTTGTGTCCCTGCTCTGTGGGAGCTCCATTCCCGGCCTGGAGAGAACTAAATCGCTTTTACAGAGATTTGAATATACAAAGGAAAGTAAAATAGGGAGACAGCCAGGCTTATCCTTTCCGGCTTCTGATCTTCAAATTCGTAACAGTAGCCCCTAAGTAGAGCTAGTTCCCCCCAAAGCAGGAAAGGCTACAGCCTGCAGCTCTTGAGCTCTGCGTGAGATGTAAGCAAGCGTATCTTCTGTACTGATCCTCCATCCTGTGTCCCGGTGTGGCTTTCGTGGTGTGCCGTTGCTGGATTATCTGGTGTCCCTGTATGAGAACTTGGAGTCCATTACCACTGAGTCCTGAGCCAGGCTGCACAACCTCGTCTGTCTCCCTTCCCGCACTTGGTCCCCCTTGCACGGTGAACAGTTTTTAAAGTTTCTTCCACTTTAGTGAGGCGTGGATATGTATCTTATGCCTTAGCTATGATTTATGTGGTTCATAAGGCCAGGGAGAGCTGTCATCTCTGCCCCAGAATAGGTTATTTGCATGCATCTGTGGAGTAATGGCAGTATATAACCAATGTTTAGATACTCCTAGGATCATTTTGTATAAAAGTGATACGTTGAACTTTTTACAGTAGTCGATTTGTGTTTGTTCCTGGCCCTGAAGACCCTGGTCCTGGTTCTATTTTACCAAGGTCAGTTTGCTTCACTTTTTCAAAATTTGGAATTTTGATTTAAATAGTTAAAGAAGGTAAGAGTCTTGGTCGGTACATCTGTTGCTATTTATTTTAGACCTCCGCTGGCTGAAAATATTACTGAGGAATTCAGACAACTGGTGCCATTTTCAGTTTTCACCACAAATCCTTGCAGGTAACAATGTAACTTACTGCTGTTTTTCATGTGTTTTTTTTTTTTTTTTTTTTAACTGAATGACTAATTTATGTGCAGATGTAATTTTCAAAAATTACAAATTTTGGAAAAATTTGTCTTAAATTTTTCAAATTGTTAGAATTTCTCACTTGCATTAATTGTAACTAGTTTTAAATACATTAATACATAAATTAGTGATGAAAGGAACTAGTGCTAAAAGTTTGATAGCAAGTATCAAAAGCATCATGTTTTTTCTGAATCTGGAGAGAACGAAGGGAAGATGGGAAAGTATTATTTTAATTGAAATGTCCTTTTTCATTTTGCTGTATTAGAGAGAGATCAACTTTATAATGCAGCTCCCTATCTTTTAGTTTCATCTCAATTTATTTAATTTCATTAATGTTTTCCATTTAGGATTCAATATTGCACCCAAGAAATAATTATCTTTCGTGAAGATTTGGTAAACAAAATGTGCAGAAACTGCGTCCGCTTCCCTAGCAGCAACATGGATATTCCCAACCATGTGAGTGAGTTGTGTTCAGCACTTCTTGCTAAGATCTCCTTGACTTCTTTTTTAATAGGCAGGTCTGCATTTAGGGTACTCTGATCTGCATTCTCATGACACGCTGCAAGAGTAACCAAGAGGGATTGTAAGAAGGATCTATACATTTAGTATTATTACCTTCATTTCCATCTTGACAGTAAAATAACTGAAACCATGATACTGATTGATGGCATTCAGTCATTCTGACTGTCCCACTGCAGGTGCCCTTGAACACAGAACTGTGTAGCAGCTGACTCTCGGTGTACATGCACCAGCAGTGAATGTCGTACCAAGAAACATTGATTCCTAAAGGCAAAGTTTAATACAAATTACCTTTTTTTAAGATTTGATCAATTAACCAGTGACATTTGCAGTAAAGCAGCATGTCACTTTTCCAAAAGGTCATCTGCTTCTTCTGCCTTCTCACTTGAAGTCTTAATCCTGCTTTTGATACGTTGCCACAGCACTCTGAGTTACGATTCTGGTTAATGAATGCACAGTGGGAGTTGATGGGACTTACTGATATAATTGAATGAGAATGATCCGGGCAGTACTGGCTCATTGCAGTGATGGATGGAGTCTGTTTCTATTTATTTTATAGGGGTTTTTTTGTTTGTTTGTTTGACTCAGAAACTTCTTTTAGCTCTTTCTTCCTTCGCTCCATCATGACCGTGCTCACTTTCTCTGTGAACATAGGGAAGCCGTTGTGGACACTGATGCACCTTGTTGTTGGTGTGCACGTTTGCATACATGTATGCTGCAAGCCATCACTTCCCTGTACTCATACACGGCTTTCTCATGCTTGGAAAGGAAGGAATCGGGAAGAAAATGTATTGCAACACTTTCTGCAGATAAAGAGTATTGGGTTGCTTTTGCCTACTTCAGTTTTTCTCTGCCTTTTCTGCCTGTCATTAGTCTTTTAATTCAGCCATCAGTGTAAAAAGATGAATGGGAGAGGGAAATTGGACTGAATTAATAGTGACTTTAGGCCTCGTACAGTATTAGTTGAATAACTGGGCCTATGCTTGGTACATCATTTTCTTTCGACAGCAGACCCTTTCACCAAGTTGCTGTAGTGATTTTGGCCCTTTGGGAAAAATGGAGCCTAATGGCAGCTACATTATTGATTAAGAGATAATAAAAGCTTTCAAGGAGCTTGAGGAGAGAGTTTCAGGAACCAAAATACCCTGGCTGGAATTTGCCAGATAAAAAAGCAAATGAAAGGGGGCAGCTGGTGCCTGGAGCAGGGCAACTCCCAGAACAGCCAAAGGAATTGAAATCATTTGGGAATCAAATGATCTCCTCAGTTCAGGGAAAAGACTGTGTTTAAGCGTGGGTCTTGTGGTTAACCGGTACTGCGAGGAAAGCCCTGAGGAAAAAAAAAACAACCGACAAAATGGAAAGTTATGGCAGTGTTGGTACTTCCTGGGTTGGAGTAACAGGTAAGTAGATTCTGCAGTTTGTTGGAGAGTCTGATTGATGAAATAGTTTTGAGATCTTCAAATATTGGCTGATAAGTTTCAGAAAAAATTTGTGTATTAAAAAGAACCACAATGCAGCAAGAAAAAAAAAAAGCAGCTGACTGTTTTAGGGCAGTTGCTGCTTTACTCTAGAAATCACTAATAATCAGAGAGAGTGAGATACACAAACATTTCCAGGTTCAAAGCTTCTTTATTAACAGGACATTAGCACCTGCAGGAAAGAGTTTGACTTGTAGAAAATGGCTCCAAACTAACTATTTATGTTTATCTTGCAGTTTGTAAAGACTATATTATCACAAGGACATCTGACGCCACTTCCGCTGTACGTTAGCCCTGTGTACTGGGCCTATGACTACTCCCTGAGGGTATATCCTCTGCCAGATATGCTCATCATTGCAGATAAATACGACCCATTCACTGTCACCAACGCTGACTGTCTTTGTATAAATCCTGTAAGATTTCCTTATGCTTTACCAAAATAAGAAGGGGGTGCAGTCATATCCAAGTGTGTCTCGTACTATTTGTACAGTATTTTACTTACACAAGTGTGGTATATACATTTTACAGGGTTCATTTCCAAGAAGTGGATTTTCATTCAAGGTATTCTACCCCTCCAACAAGACAGTTGAAGACAGGTAAATATATTCAGTTTCTCATTTAAAAGGAAGTATCTTCTTATTTGCTGACTTTCTAATTATCAGGAGGAACACAGAAAATCGATTGTATAAACAGAGTTAATGTTCTAGCAGTTTAACGTAGACTTGTGCTTCATACTTAGGCAGTGCAAGAAATCCAAATGCCTAGAACTAAAATAATAAATTTAGAAATTACAGTCAAATAACAATGAGAAGCATGATCCAAAAGTAGAAGGAAAGATAGATAGACTGTACTATATGATTTTCAATAATTGAGACCCCATTGGGAAACATATTCATTTCTGGAGATGATGCATGTTACATAGGTTAATTACACTTAGGAACAATTCTTGGTTCATTTTGTGATCATCATCAAGCTCAGAAGCCACTTTCATACTTCGATTTCATGTATTTTAAATCTGTACTTATTCATTCCAACTGTGGTCTTCCAACGACTGGAAAAAAGGCCAGCTGCAATGCCAAAAAGTATCAAAAAGTATCAAAGGGCTTACAACTGTGAAGAAAATCTGCTTGTTTGAAATAATAATGGTAGAACCCAATGGGAAAAAGTGCAAACTTACCTCATCTGAATCGGTTTCATGTGTTGTTACCGTGTTTTTCTCAAACGGGGGTGTATAATACCCCCCACCCTCCCAAGGGGATTTCTAATGCATCGACCCATGTAACCTTTACTTGAATGTAGAAAATATCATACCATGAGATGCTTTAGGTCTTTAAATAGTTTAAAACATTATCAAGTCTTTCATAAATCAAGAAATAGAATAATATGTTATTTACTGTGAAGTAGCTTTTTAAACTAAATATTGTTTTTGTTTGGTATTTTTAGCAAGCTTCAGGGTCTCTGAATTTCTGCGAGACTGCAAAAAGGGAGTGAGCCTTTGTGAAGCCAGCTGTAGCGCTCATTTGAGATGGATTGATTTTTATGATATATTACAAACTGTTTGTAATAAATGTCAAAGCCAAAAATGGTGTATTTTGTACACAAGCTTTTACAGGAAAAGATACTGGTGTTAGTTTAGGAAAAATGTAGAGTCACAGTGAAGATTAATTGGCAAAGCATAATAAAAGAAGGCAACTGGAGGAACCAAATGCATGTATATCTAACAGGGAATATCTATCTTTTAAAAAAAGAAGTTAAAGATAGGGAGAACTTTGTCTTTCACCATGCTGAGTTGAACTGATAGCTAGTTATCTATAGGAGACACTGGAAATGTGGCTAGGGTTTTTCTTTGGACAGGAAAGGTCTAGAGAAGATTATGAGGTGTTATTTGCTAATGGCAGTATATAATCTGTTTGCTGCTAGTGTTCTGCAGGCAGGGAGAGGAGAGGTAAGAGGAACAAGGACATGGTCCTTTTTAAACTTCTTCAGAAGGCGGGGAGCAGGAAACCTTGCTGAAGGAGCAATCAGGAAGGTGGGAAAGA